CCGACAATACTGCCATTACATGCTACGCGGACAAGCAAAAAGGGATATATTCCAGGTTACTCTGCCTGGAGGTGGTCGACCTGGTGAAATTTTGGATCAAGGCAACATCAACACTGTAGAAATCCATTTGCCCGGGGTGCAAAATAGTCTCATGGATAGAGCCCTGGATATCTGCTTCGTATCTGTGGAAACCGCATCTGTAGATCATTTTGGCGGGTAGTGGTATGGATGCAGATTTCAACACAGGGCTTTCCCCTACCGCCTGGCTGCTGGGCTCAGGGGGAGGGTACCAGGCAGACCTTTGCTGCCAGCAGGGAAGGGGAACAAGAGATTCCCTTTGATCACTCCAAATGCCCCTCCCTGCCCCAGGATCTCTCCCTCCTCCCCACTCCCAACCTGTTGTGCACTGACCTGTGGGAGCCCTGAGTCTGGCTCAGGGGGAGACACTGCCCATCCCATGCTGCCGTTGTGGTGCAACTGGCTAACACAGCCGGAAGCAAGCATATGGAAGGCAGCTGATTTCTAGGAGAGAAAGAGACGGCTCTCAGCAAAACAGCAAGGTGCCAGTTCCAACGGGGAGGGCCCAGCTCTGTGGTGCTGCAGCAGCAGCGGCGACAGCACACGGGGAAAAGGCCAATTCCTGTGCAGCAAGGCCCACCCCGTGTCACATGGATTGGAGCAGGCAGGCCCCCCAATAGTGCACCCCAGTGCCCTGCTGTGATGTGACGAAAACTGCTACTGTCTGGTGCCATCACTCACGAGCCCCTGGCAGCAGCAGCACCTCTGTCCACATGGCTTGCTGCTGTATGCGGTAGGGATGTAATAGTGTAACTGATTAACAGATAAGCAAAAGCTTATCGGTTAATCCTATAGACTAAAGGCATTTCTCCCTCCCACTCCACCCTCCCACCAGTACATTTTTTAGCAGGTTGGCCAGCAGTCTGGTTCAGTCCCAGCTTGCACCAGCTCTGGGACCTACCCCTGCTGCGTCTCTGTGTTTAAAATGTATCAGGAGTCAGGTGGGCAGGCAACCTGGCTCAGTTCTGGCTCATGCCATGTTCAGGAGCTCAGATCCCTCCTCCCCCCCTCAAGGGAGGGGCCATGCTGCTGCCTCTGTACCAGAGGCAACCCTCACAGAAGCCATCAAATTCATGGAGAACTACCTTGCAGAAGAGATGTAAATACCTATTCAAAAAGTTAACCAGTTAAATGATATAATTGTAACTGGTTAACATAGAGAGTGGCAGGTGCAGCATCAAACAGAGGACCCCAGTTGGGGTCCAGCTGCCCTGCCACAGGCAGAGGGTTCCTCCAATCCAGTCCTCTGTGGGCAAGGCTGTTCTGGCTGGGCCCACCACACCACATGGGGGCTGTTCAAGCCAGCTGGGATCCTGCCATGCTGCAGGCGGAGGGCTGCTCCTTCTCCCAGGGCCCAACCCTCCGGTTAGTAGGTAGGTATGCCTGTAAGGCTGATTCTTACCAGGTGAAAAGTTGATCTTTTACTTTCTTACCTTGTAGCTGAATCCCCTGGGACACAGTTGTCAAAGCAGGGGACCTTGAAGGGGAAGTGATAGAAGTGTAGCCATGTTAGTCTGGTGTAGCTGAAACAAAAAACAAGTCCTGTTTTTTGTTTGAAGGGGAAGGACTGTCTGCCTTTGTGGTTTCAAAGCACAGCAGCTAGTCTGAACCTTTACCATTGGTGTGGGCCCTGACGAAAGGGAGCCACTGTGGGGAATGTGAACACCTTGGGAAGGAAGTAGGCCTCTTAGCAGGAGCTGCTTTCCTGGGCCAGATGTGACCACCAGGGAAAAAGCCAGGACTGGTGCTTTGAGTGCAGACAAGAGGGGTATTTTCACTGGGATAGCCATTATATGGATTTCAGCTCCGGCCAAGTATGGGTGGCTCTTTCCTGGGTCTGAAGGAAGAAAAACTAATAGTCCAAGTGAGGGTGAACAGGATACCAATGCAGGCATTGATGGATGCATGATGCAGCCAAATTCTCATCCTCAACAGGGCAGACCTAACCCAAAGACTACAGGGCATCCAAATACAGTACATCCACAGAGACATACAGCTCTACCCAGCAGCCAGGGGCCAGCTCAGTGTTATGGTACACAACACAGTCTTCCAGGTAGGCATGACCGCTAGGTTAGTGTGTCCTGTGATTCTGGGGTGTGATTTGTTGTGGTCAGGGAACCCCATAAGCAGCTGCAGACACTACAACCCAGCTGGCAATGAAGAGGTGACCTCACACCCAGGGCTAACAGACAGAGGGCTCTTTTAATCCTAGTGGGGGCCCAGCTGTCTGTGCAGACAGATGCCCCACTGGAACCAGAAACCAATGGGGACTTGCTCAAGGGATGGAAGGAATACCCTACACTAAGCCATACCTGGGAACAAGCAACAACTGCCAGCTCAGAATTAGGGGATGGCACTTGCCATCCACAAGGATCCCATTTTCCAATCTGGTGGAACCTCCTGTACTAGGTAGTCTAATACTCCCAGATAGCTGCTGGTTCCACAGAGGCTGAGGCATGACCTGCGTGTGTCTCATGCAATGCCATGGGCAGGTCACCTGTGGAAAAAGAAGACCCACCAGAGGGTAGCCTATTACCTGCACAAAATTCTCTGTCAGTCCCATGTGCAATGGGTGCACACCTTTACCAAGTTCCTTGGGCTCAAGGTGTAACTTACTATGTGTTTGCAGGGATTTTTACCAGTGAAAGAGTCTTACCTAGCAATATTCTTACTCTCTAGTCATTAACATTACCAAGCAATCAGAATCAACATCCTAAGCATACAGCACCATGCTCACCAAACATGATCAAGACACGTGAGTGTCCTCTATTGGCCAGGCAAGGCCATTCTTGTCTGGATTCTGGCTGCTGCACCTCATGCTCAGTCACGCAGAAGAGTCTTGGCAGCTCCGATCTTAGGCTATGTTTTGGAAGTGAGTTCTTCTTCCAGTTCTCTTCTTACTCTTTCCGCTCCTTCTTAGACCCCAGTTTATATAGTGAAACTTGAGTTGTGCTTAGCTACAACTTAACTGATTATTTTACTAAAATTTTACTAACCAATCATAACATAGTGTAACCTAATTCCCTAACCAATTATATACCACCCACCCCTTAATTGATTTATGCTTAGCAAAATTAATTGGACAGCAGAGAGAAACGATTAAAAACCAGACAGCGATCATACAAACAATAGGCAAGTGGGGACCATAATAATAGAACAAGGATTTCACAATCTGACCTATTGATGAGTAATTACGTGCCAGACTAAATGCTATTAAACTAAGTTTTCTTTAACTATCTTGATATCTGCTTCTTTATCTCGTGATATTGGTTGCCATTAGGACGGGGTCTCCTTCATGACAGCCTAGTCTTACACTACTGTGATACAATTTATATGGAATGAGTGTGTGTGACTTTCTGCTTTTCATCTAATGGCTGCTGCTCTTTGTCTGGCTGCAGATGGCTGCCTTAGACTTTAGGTCTTCCAGTGTGACTACAGAAAACGGCCTTATCTAGCATTATTCTGGCCCGGCATTCACCAGGAAGTGAGGGAATACTGCACTTCTTGCCTAGAGCGTTGGGATGCTAGACTGAGAGGTGCCTCTCATTCTGCCCCTTCTGATAGAGGTCTCCTTTGAGGGTATTGGCCTAACTCTGTTGGCATCATTGGAAAAGAGCTCAGATGGAAACTGTTCCATCTTTTCACGTGGAGCTGGTGGTGAATGTTAACAGCTTGGCAGCTGTGGCTGCACAAGAGAGGCATGACACAATCAGAGCCACAGCCTACACCCCCCATTTGTCACTCGTAGAGCTGAACTGTGACAAGTGTGAAAAGTAGGATGAGGGTCCTGGGTTGTGTGTCTGTTAGTCTCTAAGGGCGGTGTAGGGCCACTGGTATCTTCTAGGGACACTCATTGGCTTTTGGGCACAGACCTCCCTGTGGGCCTGGCACCCCCTCCCCTCCCCTCCCTGGAGCACTGAGGTTCGCTGCCTCTGCTGCCCACAGGCGCCCTGGGCACCAGGCCCCGCCCAGGCAATGACGTGCCTCCAGCTGCCCTGCGACCCTCTGCCCAGCTTCCTTCGCCTGTCGCTTGCGGTCCATTGACGGGATGAGTGTAGAGCCCCGCCCCCGCCCAGCTGGGATTGGTTCCTGCTCTGGTCAGTCTTTCCGTCCCACCAGTAGGCGGAGCAGAACTGTCGGAGCAGCTATGTGACGAATCACGGTGCACTAAGGTCTTGACGTGACTAAGGCCTGCAAAGCATGCTGGGGTTTCTGGTCCCTTCGCTTTGAGTCGCGCTCAATTTACGTCGCCAGGCGTGCGGCACTGCTTTTTGATTGGCTACCATCGGCTCTGCTGGTCAGTCTTTCCGTCCCACCAGTAGGCGGAGCAGAACTGTCGGAGCAGCTATGTGACGAATCACGGTGCACTAAGGTCTTGACGTGACTAAGGCCTGCAAAGCATGCTGGGGTTTCTGGTCCCTTCGCTTTGAGTCGCGCTCAATTTACGTCGCCAGGCGTGCGGCACTGCTTTTTGATTGGCTACCATCGGCTCTGCC